AGAAAGGATAGAGTAGCTCCGCCCACCGCGCATCAGACCCACTTTACCACCGCGCAGCTAGAGCAGCAAAGATGCTTCAGAAGCGCGTCAGAACTAAACTGCTACAAGCATCAAAAATGAAGCAGAATGCGCGTTTCTGCTGCTCCTGCTGCTTTAGGTGTGAACGTAGCATAACGGTGGCTAGCTTCCAGCCATGGCGTCCTGCACGAGCATTGGGGGGGTCGATATGTTCATGTGTCAGGGTACGCAAAGCTTTTGCTGTCTGGAAAAATTCTCCACACTAAATTTATTTAATTATTCCCTTTTTGTCAACAGATTGTGCTCATTAGGCTCACAAAGGCTCTGATTATTGAAATTGGCTGATTTTACATTAATTAATCCATTTGCCAAAACAATGTGGGACTCTGTAGTTTTCTCTGGTCCCCTCCCTGATCTGACCAGTGATGACATGTTTAGCCGCATGTCGTCATTCAACCGCTGGTTGTCTAGGTGGTGTCCTGAAAACAACGTGGGCTACATTAATAATTGGCAATCCTTTTGGGGAAAGCCTGGTCTGATTGGACCTCCCCAAGATGGCGCCCGTAATTCCTGCGCGTGACAGTCATTGAGGGGTCTACTCTTATATGCATTGTATACGCAGACGCCTCATTGGACGCTGTCAGCCTACAGGGCGGCCATCTTGGATCAGACCTCAGTCAGACAGCTGCTGTCAGAATGAATAGGAGGCGCCTTAGATCTCATTTTAATCACATGAAAGACGAGTCAGAGATAAAATTAAAATGTTCTCTTACATGTCACAACAAGGTTTTACATTAACTTTGTTAGATTAAACATATTCATTCAGTGTGTAAAGTAATGTAGCATCCATTGACGTACATTGTTTCTGAAAGCAGCCTGGTCTGACCTAAGATGGCCGCTCTGTCGGCACGCTTCTCCCCCTCTGTGCCTATGATTAATGTCTACGTTCACCCAGCAGCCTGAAGTCATCCAAATCCCATTGTTTTCCCCCCATATGTGACCTGGATCTGATCTTTTCATTGCAGTCTGAACAACATAGATCCCATTTTTTTCCAATGCGCTCCAGGCCTCTTGGCTCTGTGGTCCTGAATCGATACAAATCTGATCTTTTCAAATGCGACCTGTTTCTGAACGGCCAGGTCACATTCATTCCACCTGAACGCCATTAATACCCGACAAAGGTCACTATTCTGCGTCTTGCTATGAAGAAGCGGCAAGAAAAACAACAACCATGGCGGACGATGAAGCAGAGAGCAGCATTTATGTTTAACCATATTGAAAAGAATTAGTTTTTATGGTTGGAAAAGATCGCTAGATGCGCACTAGCACTACCGTCCATGTTTACTTCCGTAAACATAAAACATGCTGGCCTGTGACGTCACTGTGTCCTCTACTGCGCATGCGGGAGACTTGCGTCGTATGAGGGGCACGGTCAGACTACAGATCAGCTTTAAGGCTTGTTGATTCCAAATTAAATCCTTTTTAAATCAATTTATTATTTTATCCACAGTTCCAATTATTAAAGCGATAAACTGATTTAGGTCAGAAGCAGAGAAAGTTTATTCTAAGAGATGACATCACTTCCTGCAGTTTTAAATAAAGGATTTTATGTAGAGCCACTGGTCAGGAAATAAAAAATAAATGAATCCGAGTATTTAATTAGTGAAGATTAATAAACGTATTTAGGCTTTAATGTTCGCAGATAGAAAGTTTAAAGGAACATTTCAGGTTTAGGAATCATGTTTCCTGGTTCCAGATTTGTTTGTTTAACCATAAATCTGTTCCAGATCTGCTTCTGTTTGTCTGCTGCTTTATAGCTTTACTGTGAATCACTGCATTGATAATAAAAACTAAACAACAGATGGAGTCAGTAAACTTACCGAAGGCAGAAAAAGTCCTGATCAGAGTGAAGAGGTGGAATCAGGAGGTCTGCAGACAGTCTGACTTGCAGCAGAAAAGAAACGAAACCTAAGCAGCAGGGGGGAAGTAGCAGTGGCCCCTCCCACCGCTACTTCCCCGCTTCTTTCCTGTTTCAGCATCTTTGGCAGAGAAACATGTGGAACATCCTTCATTCTCAGCCCTCTGCTCTCCTTCATTTAAACCCAGAGACTGATCTGCAGAGGATCCGTTCAGCCCAGAACGTTCTGTTCAGGTTGGATCACCATGAAGGATCAGCAGAGCTTCACATCTGGAAACATGACATCCTATAAACTACAAATCCCAGAATGCACCTGGACGCGGACTGTGACGTTCAGCTGGGTTTTTTTTAGCCATTCAGGCTTTTATTTTTGATAATTAAGCAGATTTTAAGTTTAAGGCTCATAAAAAGTTTATATTTGATTAAAAATGTTTTATTGATCAGAGAAATGAGAAGTTGGAACCGCCGTGGAGCATTCTGGGTGGATTTAGTTTGGAATAAAGGATCAGCTGGTTTTCCTTAGATAGAAAACTTTGAATCAATCTGACTGGATGATCTGGTTGAACTGGCTCTATAAAACGACCTGAGGTGACATGATGTGAACTGGAGCTATAGATATAAATTGAATAGAATTGAATTCCTCCTGTTCTCCGTTAAAGTCACTATTATCCCTCCTGAGCTAAATTACTTTACACTATCTTCTAATTGTATTTAAATCTTTGATAAACCTTTAGCTTACCTTTAAATAAAAGGCTTTTCAAACAAAGATCTATCACATCATGTTAAATGAAAAATAAACTAGAATATTGCACAGAAAAAATTACCAATAAAGTTAAAATGCTGTTTGTTTGAATAAGTCATTATTTCAGCTCCACCTGTTTGATTGCACTGCAGTGCTACAACTGACCACCAGCAGGTGGTGCTGCTGTGCTTTTATTCTGGTGGGGAATTAAAACCCCATCAGATTAAATTAATCCCATCATCCATCCACTCATCCATTCATTCATCCAATTAATCAAAATAAAGACAAACCACCAGAGTTGAACATTAAAATACATTATTTAATTTTTTACAGTTTTCTGACATAAAAAACAAACTTGTTTTATTTGTTTAGTGGGAAACTTATGAACATTTCTGTTGTAATTACAGTTATTTTGAAACCCGTCGGCTTCAGGACCCGTCATTAAAGGCATTCTTTATTCTGTTTTTCAATAAATGAGGAAAATCAAATAGAATCAAATTTCTGAAAAGAAAAACAACAAAGGAGGATCTGACTAAATGTTCGATTTGGGTTTAAAAAGTCCAGAACAGAGAATCAGAGCAAGAAGATTTCCTTCTTTAACTGTTTCGCTCTGCTGCTCCTGGTTCTGCTCACCAGCAGAACCAAACTGCCTCTAAATGGTTTTCTTTCCATCAGAATGATGACAAACATCCAAAAACAGGAGCAGGAGAAGCTCTGGTTCCCTTAAAGAGGGGAAGCAGTTTCACTGTAAACCTACATTTCACAGATAATTACACATATTTACAGTCTGTACAGCTCCACTGATGGAGGCTCCTGCTGCTTATTTCAACACAACATGGTAACCATCAGAGTTCTCATCTGTTTAAAGGAGAACAGTGTCAGCTCACTTCAAAGCATCAGCAATACTCAGAAAGGTCTGATGGTGGCGCTGTTCAGCATATTTACCTCTTACGGTGCTGATGATAAAACTCGCTTCTTCTCCTAAGTTCTGCACCATCTGAAACAGAACAGGTCATTTCCTCTTTAATACCAACATCCAGAGTTCAGATCAGACCGGTT